ATCAAATGATTTTTTTGAGTTAATGAGCATACAGGCGATAACAATATAATTGTCCATAAATTTCATATTTTTAGTTTATACAGAATTGCTTTTTCATTGTTATAGAGGCTAACAAAGACTTGCATTTCTTTATTAAGAAGGAACAAAATCATTCTCACTGCCACTTCGATCGTTTCACATTCTTTCCAAACCTTTATCAAATTTTGCATTTATCCTTCGATAGTAAAACTATGTGGTATTGAACATTTGCAATTTACTGATCTTAAAACTTTTAATTTAACAGGAATATAAAATTTAGAGTAGTGAATTATGTGACATAGCAAAATAGATATCCATTCAATACTTATTTTCCACTCGCGAATTGCGGAATTAATATGTATTTGGCCGCCGGAGCTGCGGCATCCGAGTGAAAAGGGTTGAATACAAATGAAATTGATTATCAAGCTTTAGCATCTTTACTAATAAACCTGAATACAAAAATCACCAAAAGTAACAATTATTTAAAAATTAAAAAAAAATATTTATGTTTGATTGATAGTTAATGATATTTTTTATCTGATTTAGTTTTAATTGTAGTTAGATTGTACTGATTTTTTATAAATCAGTTTCTAAAAAGTGTTGCTGATATATAGTATTTTATCTAACCAAATATTATTTAACATCAAAAATTTTGTTGCAAATCTACGAAGTTTAAAATAAATCGGTTACAATATATTTCGTTAAAACTATTAATAGAAAATGGTGTTTGGAAATAGTTTAAGCAATTCCAGTACCTATTTCATAGAATTATAAGCGGTCATACATGCAATAAGCCATTTATTTTTTCTCCTGGACATACTCCATTGTTCAAAACAGGGATAGTAAACTACAAATGAACTAAGTTAATTTGAAAGAAATAATAGTAAAATAATAGTAAAATGATTATAAAATTTAAGTTGTACGGGTATACTTATAGATTAATAAATGGTAAACCACGCACGTCTAAATATGAGAATTAGGTAGTTATCATTATACGTGAAATATTTCAACAGAAACAGTTTTTAATGCTAAAAAATATTAAATTTTAAAATATTTATTTTTATGCTGTAATTGGTGCCTTCACTTCTGGTTGCATCTGATTTACAGACCCAAATTTTGACTATTCATTCTACTTAACATTATTTTGTATTCCGCATAATTTAACTAATTTACATACGCGAACCAGTCGTTGTATAATCGTTATTTAAGTGGGCTAGCACAAACTAGTTCCGGGTTCGACACTAACTTCAGCCAGCTTGATATCAAGCAGTACGATTTCAATCGTATGAGATTATAGATCTCAAATATAATATCAAGTGAAAATCACCTCCCGTGGGCATTGCAGAAACATATACATACGACAACATCATTTGATATACCCACATATGTAATATAGATATAGGGACCGATTCTGCCGCATAACAGAAAAATGTTATGTTATGTTATGAAGAACTTTCCATAATAATATTGACAAAAGCCATGCGGTAGTGTGCAGTCCGGAAAATTTCTAAAGTTGTCTGATATAAAACATAACCTAGAAGCCGCACAAATGTCAAAAAACGATGTTAGGTAACGGTGTATTTCTGATACAGCTCCATAACATACGAGTGACGTTGCAGTTTATGTGTAAAACGCCTGAATGCACAGCAAATACATGGCATTTTGACAGTATTCAGTATGATTCAGTAGCATAATTATATGGAAGTCGGAGGGTAACATGGCTTTGCCATAACATTTTTCTGTTATGCGGCAGAATCGATTCCTTAGTTCAGCAAAAAAAGAAGAAGGTTGACCGCAGGGTTGTCTTTTCGAAAAAGAAATATTAATGCAACACGTAGTTCTGATTGTTAAAGCAAAAAACTTCACATGTGCAACTCTACACAGAAATCCTAAAATTTAATGAAGATATTTTTAAAAAAAAATTCAATGCTTTTGTAAATTAAGTAGAAAAAACGTGGTATAAAATTTTTGCTTATTGCTGTTGCCTTTGTTCTCTATTATCATTGAAATATAGCATTTTTATTACTATATTGTATATACTAGTATTTTACAAATTATATGCGCAAATATAATACGACTTGACATTATTCTTAAAGAAATTAGAAACAAAAATTTATTCATTAAATTATTCGTTATTTATCTAAACGCATTGCTAGTCCATTCAATACTATCGGCAAGAATGTCGTCTATGAACGACATCCACTCGACTTCCTGTTAAACTATTGGTAACTCTGATTTTCATTTTCATTGTAATTTTTAGTTCATTAGGAGCGCAATTTTTAATTTTTAAGTAGATTTTTATTGATAATGATATAAATATCATTGAATATATCGTTGAGTCTAGTCAGTTCAGTGTCACTACTAATGAACGCGCTGTTCCGTATAGCAGTGACACTCCTGCGGAAAACACTCGCAGCGAAAGGGTTAAATGGCGCACGTCTTTCACGTCTTTCACGTCTTTCACGTCTTTCACGTCAAAAATTCAAATTTTCGTCAGATTTGTGCAATATTTTTCTATCTATTCAATAAATATGTTAAGAATCCAAAATAGCAAGAAAACTTGGAGAGGTTTGGAGCCTCTGCCTCCAGGTATTATCACAGTCTCTATCTACACGTCGTGCTTTATTGTATCGTGATGATGTCACACATATCTCACATTTAGCATTATGCATTGTAAAGTCTCGATAATTTTTTTCTAAATTTCCAACATGACTCGCCACTTTTGACGAAAGACCGTGCAACTACATACAATATAATAATATAGGTCTATTTAAAATGTTGACCGAGATGTTTTTTCATTCTTCTTTCTATTATGTTTTAAGTTCAGATTCTAATCAGAAGCATATTGCTTAAGAGTTTTTGTTATTGAGATCGTGTTATACAATTTGTCGAAATGTTTTTTTTTTTTTTTGAGAAGTACAATTGATTGAAAGATGTATTACGTCTGTGCACGCCCACAAAAGTGCGACACAGATTAATCATATCTGTAGCATTTGCAAATTTATTGATACAGCATTGTAATACATATTGTTAGTCATATATGATGTATTGAAAAATGATAACAGGTAATTTGTTAGTTGATTTTACTATGATTTATGGTTAAACGAAAATAAAAAAAATCCAAAAATTTATTTTACGCATTAGGGTAGGGCAGGGCACAAAGGTCCGATCTGACTTTTAGTAATTATACTGTTTAAATCAAATTAACTATATATCACAACACTCAACACATATCAAACAATTAACTATCGAACTATGTTCAATAAAATTCCCAGTCGATTCCTAGTTATAGAAATATGGTTTATCACTAGTTTGCTAAAATTTGTCATCTGTCCCTTTTTACCCTCTGACAGAAACAGCCAAAAGCAAACTGACCCAATGTTTTATTTTTAATTTTAAACAGATTTTTCGAAATAATAAGTATATTTTTCAACCAATGCGAAATACAAATTTCATGAGCGCATTTCATTTCTAAAAAAATCACTGTATATAACCCTGATCTGGTATTTTGTCAAAAATATTTATCAGCAGATTTGAATAACTAATATTTTAATTTATCTATAATAATCTCGTTTTCTAAACATAATTTTATTTTTTCATTTATTTTCTTATTAGTTACACCTTTGTCAATATAAAGATCAAGTTGGTCCTGTTTTACCCAATCCACCACATGTAAGCTTTTATAGAGTTTATATAAAATAAAACTTGAATCTATCTTAAAAGTCATTCAATAGATCTTATAAAACAAATAAATAACGTTCTTTTAAAAATCATATTCAAGTATCTAACTAACTAAAATGGTCAAAACCAAAAACTACCAACGAAATCAATAAAAAATATTGCAGTCTTTCTCCTGACAGCGATGTCGTAAAAATTAAGGTGATGGCTGATTATGCATATTTTATCTTTTACTTTAAAATAGTATCGTTAAAAAACTCTATACTTATTTTTGAGGTAATGGTGAAAGACTAGAGGTTAAAGGGGTTACATTGAGAAAATACACAGAACAGAAAAAAATTAAATTAAATAAATATTAAATAAATTTAATAAATTAAATTAATTAAATTTAAAGAATAAATCAAATACGTTCTCCATCAAATAATGTTATCAAACTTAATGGAGTCGTATTAGTAAAGCTCGGTTTAAATATTGCATTATAAATTTATAATGTAATAATAAATAAATTAAAAATTGCTAATGATTCACAAATGTACATTAAGTAAGGATTGTAGATGTAGATATAAAAATCATGTTTTTATGGTAGTAAACCTTAAAACTTTGTCAGCTAAATATCCAAGTGTTTAATTTGCTTCGCTTTTAACAATCTCTCGTTTAATATGATTTACGATGTTCTATATCTCCTTACTTCCTTGAAATTTATCATCATATGCAACTACTATTTAAAAACATAAAACATGTGTTCAAAGCAATAGCGTGTATTTACAACATAAATGCGCAAATATTTTCTCATTTCATGTGATTTTAATAAGCCTGACACCGGGTGGCGCGTAACGTTTTAAACGTAATTAATTTCAGCTCGGAACTCAAATGTTATCTCAATATTGATGGAAGTTTTATTATTATTTTTCGTATTATTATCATTATTATTTATTAACTATTTGGAAGCTACAGAAATTCATATATTATGCGCAGATAGTAAAATTTTACAGGTAAAAATTAATACTAAAAGTAACTTATGATTGTAATAATTGTATTCTTAATATATTAGAAATCTTTGTACATAATTGTCAATACATAAATGATTATCTTAGTGTATATATATATGTGTGTGTGTGTGTGTGTGTTCGTTTATAGGCTTGCATTTCAATCAAAATGAAACGAGTGAAATTTTAAGACTTAATACAAAACGCCAGCAATCATTCGAGGCAGTAAAACAAAATTCAATTATAACTTACACAACTTTAATAATTATAAACTAGTAATCTAAAAACGTGACATGTATCATTTTTAACGTTGGAATCATGGCATCCACTTACACAACAGAAAATTTATGCCCGAGTAAAGTAATGCGAGTCGCATTTCTATTATCAAACAATGCCCGCGGCGTAAACAATCGCGCTCTTAGTAAACCTAGTATCGCTTTCACGGTTCTCATGCAACAATTCGTAATATTCATTTTGTGTTTACATTTTCTAGTGGCTGATGCTGTTCGCGTGCTGCGCAGTTTTATTGCAAGCGGAAGCCAGGCGCATACGAATCAGCAGGCCTCGTCCCGTGGAACGAGCAGATTCCGAAGAGGAGTCTGTTTCGGCAGAGCAAGAATCAATCGCACCCAGAGTCAGGTACTATGCGGCGGAGGCCCAAGAAACTCAAAGTCCGAGAAGTTTAGTTTTGGTCTCGACTGAAGAGTCTTACAATGGTCTCTACGGGCAACAATCGTCTGGACGCGCAGATAATTATGTTTCGCCCAGATCGCAACTGATCAAGGTCGCTAAACAAAAAGAACCGACCAAGGCCCCGCCAGTACAAACTATTAGGAACTATAATAAAGTTAATGATGACGGCAGTTTCACTTTCGGATACGAAGCAGCCGATGGAAGTTTTAAAGAAGAAACTAGAGGAACTGATTGCGTTGTTAGAGGTAAATACGGTTATGTTGATCCTGATGGTAACAAAAGAGAGTTCACTTACGTATCAGGAAACCCTTGCGATCCAAACGCACAGAGTGCCGAAGAAGAAGAAGAAAAATCAGAAGAAGAAAGCGAGGAGAATGTACCACCAAACTATCCATCACGTCCGGTAAGACCACTTCAAGTTAGACCTCTACATTTAAGACCTACGCCAGCACCTGTGCGTCCAACCACAACCGTATTCCAGAATATCTATGATCAAAACAGCAGCAGCGAAGAGGAAGAAGATTATGAACAACCTGCTCCTGCACCAGCACCAGCGCCAGTGCATATAGCACGACCAGCTCCACCTGTACACATACAAGCTGCACCAGCTCCAATACATATCCCACAACCACCAGCACCAATCCACATCACAGCTCCATCTCCAACAGCTATTCCAATCAGAACAAGACTTACTCCAAGACCTAACTATATATCATCTGAAAGACCATTATTAGAACGCCATAGACCTAAAGTAACACCAACATCAAACACCGTATACTACCAACCACAATCTATTGAGATCACACCCAGACCACAATCACATTCGCCAGCACAAACATTACAAACTCAGCCACCTGCAACCACTTACAGACCAACCTTACTCTCCGTGACTGCCCGACCAAGTAGCGCTTATACAAGACCCGCAACCGCTCCATCATTATCAGCTTATGCAACTTCCACACCATCAAGCACAACCACAACTCGTGCTAAGGTACATCAAATTCCAACCTTGAACGCAGTAGGAACTAGAGGACAAATTGACTTTGCTGCAGAATTCGCCAAATTCCAACAAGAAAATAACATTATATCAAGCACTCCTTCTGATCTCCCCAAATCCCTTAAACCTACGTCTAAGGCCCCACCTTCAAGTTCATCCTCAGTAAGTGGCAATCCAGTGTATTCCTCGCAACTACTTTTTGATCCTTCATCTGGACAATATGATACATCACTATTCCAAACTTTGCCACAAACCGAAGGAGAATTTACCTTAAACCATCGCATCCAACCATACGTACATCAACCGCAACATGCTGCACCACCACGATTGGTTAGCATAAGTCAACTGCAGCCACAAACGCGTCCTCAGCCCAGCCCATTGTTCAGGCACCAAATACAACATTCTGATGCAGTGCCGATAAACTTCCCGCAACAAGCATTCCAGCAGCAGCAGAATGAAGTTCAATTTCAAAATTCACAGCAATTGTTCGCGCAACAACAACAATTGCAACACAATCAATTACAACGAGACAGGATGGAAGCAGCAAGAGCAGCAGCGGCTGCAGCTGCCCATAGGGCTCCACAGAGACTTGTCAGTCCTGGCGTTCAGTCACACAGGTTTCAATTATTGGGACAACCTCAACAACCAAGACTGACAAATCCTTCGCAGGCGTACTATTTCGTCCAACCTTCATCGCAAGGATCACAACAAAATCCAAGTGGGCAGATAGAATCATTCCTGAGAGGGCACAATATTCAATTTTAAATTGCCAAGGTTAGTTGAACGGTTTAATTACTTAATGAATAGCACGATTTTTCTCTTTTATAATTTTGCTTTGAAAAAAAAGCGGAAAATAAATTGAATCGGCTTGTTATAGAATAATGCTGGAAGACATTTCCGTAACTTTAGAAATGCTTTCAAATATTTTAACTGACATTATCACATGATATAATAATATTATTTCCTACTAGAGTTTCAACAATTTGAAAATTCTATCCCTATAATTTACTTTCGTGAAAGTAAAATATGACAAACAAATGTGTATCGAATATATAAATTGCATCAAAGCGCTCAACATCCATTTATAATAATGATTATGCAAGGCAAAAATCATTAACTCGATGCAATCATAACAATAATAAAATGGATTTGGAGAAATCAAACTAATTAACCGTTTACCGATGTATTAAAATTAATTGTTTAATAAGTAAGGATCATTTCATGACTGCATAAATTATCATTGCTTATTTCCGATTAAACTGCGCGATTATCCGTTCTATTGTACGGAGTTCTTTGGCGGTGCGGTATGTAATTATACAATAAATCTGAAAATATTTTGCGATACCGCGTCGGTATTACTTTTAAAGTGCAGCAGTCAGGTCGATGTACAGTCACTCTTACTTTTTCATAGATAATTACGTACTTTGAACAGAAAACATGACGCGGACAAATAGCAGCACGCGCGGGAACAGGGCCACATTCGGATCGTGCGAGCCCTCGGAAATAGGGCAGCAAGTCTAGGAGACTATGTCGAATTATTAAATTATTTTTTATAGTTGAAATTATGTTAAAAAAGTATTATTTCACTGAAAGGAAAAACTAATGAACCTGAAATTAGTCGAGGAGCTGATTCTGCCGTAAAATAGATCAATGTTACGTAACGCTTCTCATACAAAATAATACTAAATACAGTCAAAATGCCATGTTGTTGCTGTGCAGTCAGGCGTTGTAGATAGAAAGCCTAACCTAGAAAGCGCACAAATAAAAAAATGTTATTATAACTGCATCTTTGTGATATGGTATAATAATATATGAGTGAAGGTGCATTTTATGTATAAAACGCCTGATCGAACAGCAAATATATGGCTTTCGACAGTTTTTAGTGCCATTTTCTAAGAGAAGCGGTACGTAACATAGCCTTGCCATAACATTGGTCTATTTTACAGCAGAATCGGCCTCTATCATAATTTCGTGCTAAGTGCTAACCTAAAGCTAGCCCCAAATCATGCAGCTAACAGAAAGTTAAAACTCTCAAAGTTCTTGGAAACAAATATTTACGAAAAACGTTTTCGTCGGTCTCACAGACCGATGCGCGGGCATAAGAAGGTTAAATAACAATTTTTCACTAGTTTACCGGAATCAAAAATATAAATAAATACGGTTTATACCTACAATATGTAATAACTTAATACACTTCTAACAAATATTGACCCAATGAAAACCGAAAGGTTTTCTGAAACTGTAGAAATTCATTTAGATTGGTAGTTACCGGTAATGCGTCCCTGCAAAAAGGCTAGAAGGCTTCGTGTAAATCGTTCGGCAAAAATATTTCGGTATCAAATCAGTTATTGTTATTCGTCCAGTCACGAATATATGTTGTATCACTTTCGGCGTGTTATTATATTCCCGAGTTATTTGACTTTCACGCCAATTCTTGCGATGTCTATACTCGATTTGTTTTATGTGTGTATATTAAGTACACTGGTACTATTCGACAGCAAAATTTGAACAAAATTCACGATCGCTTGAATTACAATAATAATAGTTATAAAGATTATTACCATGTAATGCAATTACCAGAATATCGTGAACAATAATAACATACTCAAGTTTTTAGTCGCACTTTTTGCTATGGTCTTTTTTGTTGTAATTTAACACTTGTGAGGAAGTGTCAGACTTTTGTTAATATGAATTATTTTTGTCAGACGTAGGAACAGATATGCGTTAATTGTAATTTCTCTATATGTCACTATATGTAAAATGTAGTATGTTTAAATGATATAAAAGACATTTTGAAGACATCGACGACAACACCAGTTGTTCGTGTACAAGATAATTATTATTACAATTACTCAATATACTTATTGGTAATATAGTGCTTACACATTCCAAAGTCTGTAAACCAGAAAAACGTTAATAAATGAATTAATAAAAAACTGCGTTCAGAAGTTTAAAGATACCTATAGCAGATCTTCCACGCGCCCTATATTCACAAACACCATTAGTGAAGTAAACGGAGAAGAAAAAGGGTATAACCTCTGATTTTTTTTACTGTGCTCCGATTTGCATGAAATTTTGGAATTAGATTCATCTTACCCTCAATTTCAAAAGTGAAAACAATTTGGACTCCGCCACCACCCCCGGGGGGATGACACCCCTTCGCCTTGGCCGATCATTGTGCGAGTCCTTGTCGAAATACATCGAACGGCTTTTGAATTTTTGGAATCAGTACTGGCATTTACGAGAAATCGTGGACACATACTTTTTTCAAATTTGGTCTCACTCGCTCCAGAATGACTTAAAACGTTGAGCAAACATAAAATTAAAAATTCAGATTTTTTGGCGAAAACTAACTTTTCTTTTGGAAAGTTAATAAAATATTGTTTTTGATGATGATTTTTCTATATAGTTGATTAATATCATATTTCTACGCTATTTTCTATAATAAATTACACACCGACAGATTCTTTTGAACTCTGTATTTGAGTTCGAAGTCCTGACAAAAAAAAATAATGAAGAATTGCGAAAAAGAAAAACATGCAATAATTTAACTTTGCAAATATAATAATGATATATAAGAAATAAGTTTATTGTACTTCTAACAATTGGCCTTGAATTAACAACTTTTAACTAGTAGTAATATAAGAACGCCGGCTCGAAAGCTTTTTTCTATTGATTAGTAATATCTGCGGTATAATTGGATAGTAGCAACACGGCATAGTTGATAATATGGAACTGAAGACAGAACTATTATTCATATATTTTTCTAGACATCTGGTATTTTCATGATGATATAGTTTCTAATCTATTGATGTTTAAATTTTAAAATGCCGGTGATAGAAAAAATTCTACAATAGAAGGCGCATAACTTAATTTTATAATACATTTTTATGAATAAACTTAGAAAATATTTGTTTTTATTAAAAATGCACAATAATTTTAATCATTGAGTTACATACTCCTTTTTCATAAATATATTTCGGATGCTAACGAACAAAGTAATTTTAGCAAAAATAGCAAGGCTTCTAGACACTGAATCCAATTTTTTAATAATCATTACTGCCATTTTCAAAAAATGGATAAAAAAATTAATAACCGTTTGCAAATACTGAAATTTTTTATTCAAAACGGTTTGAAGTGTCATGACCTGAGTAGAAAAAAATGATTTTACTTGAAACAAGTAATTTTTTCTGTGATAGTTCATAGTTTAACAATTGTACCATATTTACTGTTGAAAATATTGAAGTAAAAAATATGAAAATAAAAAATATCTAACGATAATAACATAATGTTATAAATAAAATAAATAATGCGATGCAATTTAAATATTATATATTTAAATGCGATGCAATTTAGATATTATATGTTTGGGTCAGTACCTATACTTATACGTGAGTTATAGTTTTTAAAGTTTATGATCAGCAAAAGCTGAAAATAACTTTATAATCTCTTTGCTTGAAAAGTATTATTTTTCTTGACAGAATGATATTTGCTTCTAACCTCGTTAAGCTACACAATAATTATGTTTCATGAGTTGATATAACAATACTTACGTTTGATATCAGGTTTTCATTTGTGCCAATTAAAATATGAAAATGAAATTTTTTGCTAAGATGATTTACTAAAGAAAACGTAAACGTACTTTTCAAGTAAGAGATAAAAAGTAAGAGATAAAAAGACCACATTGTATGAAGAAGCTGTTTAGCAGCATGCCAGTGTCAAAATCGGTTTGCAAAATTTTGACCAGACAAAGACATTAATGTCTACCTCAAAAAGGTGATAAATTAATCAGCTTCATTTATTTGGATTAGTTTATATTAGGTATCAAATGGTAACGCGTAACATAGGTGAGAGATTAAAATATATAATTAATTTGCATTTTTTTTATTTTTTAATATATATATTTATAAAGGGTAAGAGATCACAGTGAATATTCTCATAAGGTGTAAGAGATCACAGAGAATATTTTTACAAATATCTAATAATAAATAGAGTAAAAAATTTCTACTCTAGTTTTATGGTCATGAATATCCTGATTTCTTTCAATTATATAAGTTAAAATCTCATTTAACATGATTAGTAGATCGAGTTGCAATATGAAAAAGAATTGGATCAACTCCCAGATATCTCCCAGATTGCTAAGCATCATTTATCGAATAGTTAAAAAAAAAATTTGTTTATTTTACCAACCGTTCGCAAGATATTCTATAAATGTCCACCACCATTCATGCGAAACAATGCAACTAGGTTCGAGTGGCACACTAGGTCGATCGCCTTAGCAGCGTCATTGTAAGTGAAAGTCTTATGATTATTATTAGTTCAGTTAAGAACTCGACATAAAGCAACGACTTGAAACGATATTGCAAACAGGACTAGAATATACCATACACGGCGATATATATGCAGAAAATTTCACAACACAAACCTACATGTAAAATGAAACGCAATGAAATTGTAAATTGTCCGCAGGCATTTCTGTCTGCTCGTTCTCGTTGCCGTCAGAAAATCCATAGCAGAAGATCCAAATTAAACCTATCAATGTTGGTATTCTAATTATCCTATCAATAAAGTATTTTAGATCAACCAAGTCACATGTCGTAAAAACATTAGATATCTCATAACATGGTTGGAGCAGAATTAACTTGAATAGCTAATATTTATTATATTTAAACATAAGAGTTCAATACATAAATTAGATAAATTGGTAGAAAAAATCACGTCTAATTCGTTCTAATCAAAGACCGATAAATATTACTTAAAAATTA